AACTATAAGAGATCATTTCCAAACCTATTCCATAATTCCTCCATGTTGTGCCTGTCCTTTTATTAGTGTGAAACTGACCTGAGTAATATTCTGCAGGTTTGGTTTTAATATGTTACTTTTGTTTAACTGATACAATGTATAATAGAAGTATAGAATACCAGTGTAGAAGATGGTATTATTTTTCTATTCCATATTGGCAGTCTTTTAAGATTGAATTAGTGTTATATAGTAATCATCTGGAGGATAAGGAACTTGCATTGAGACACAATTAGTTCCTGCCTTGAATGGGCAATGAAGAAAACTTTGTTACAAATTTAACGTAATTTACAAATGTACAAGGTTTTATCATCATCGGTACCTATAATTAAAACACTCTTACTAAATTAGCAACAAAGTTTTCTTCATTACCTAGTCAAGCTGTCGTAGATTTTTATAGTAATCCCTTGTTGTCTTCCTAAACACTTACCATCACTGAGATGGAAGAGATTTTGAATGCCTGTGAAAGAAAGATATGTGCTAACTAAATTACTGCGTTTTCTGATTTTGTACGTAAAATCATATTTTTAGTGATTGTCACCATAATTAGGTGGACAGGTTCTTATTATTTATTGGTTAGATTTGAGAAAAATTAACAAAAGGTACACAGTAACAATCTATACATTTTATTTAAAAAGTACAAACAGAAAGCTTTCAGCAAACTTTAACTAAAAGTTTCTTTTTTTTTTTTTGGTATTTAGGTATGCAAGGGGGATCATTGGCTTTTGGGGCTAGTTCGAGGTGCCTTCTCATGAGTTCGGAAGGTAACGATGAGAGCATGGACACGGGATTAGGACTTGGTGAATTAGCAGGAATAACAGTCAGCAATGAGGCTGAATCTAATTATGATGTAAGTGGAATCTTGATATATTAGATTTTTATTAACTATGGTCGTTGAGCATTTAATGAAATTTGTTCATATATTATTTTATAAAAGAGAGCTAAAAACTAAGAAACGTGTATTTGTATATTTGTACCGTGTTTATTCTGATGGAAATATTAGCAGCTAGTATTCGTTTATGGAATTTTATTTGCTCAAAATATGTAGGTTTGGTAGTCAGGGCTGCTAAAACAATGTAGAACTTTATATTTTTGTACGTTTCTATGTTTTAAGCCACTTTATTTCCTGTATTAAAAAGATTCAGTTGCTATCATTTTCCCAGTACTAGGTCATTTTATAATTCTGTTTATTTGTATTCCGCTTTTAATGACAATTAACCCTAGCATTTTCAGCAACACCAGGATAAACTTAAACCAAAACCTCTGTGTTCTGTAATCTATCTGCAACACTGATCACCAGTGAGTGATCCCAGATTCTAGCCACATTCTATTATTTAATTATGTAGAATGTTTTTTTGTTTTATTGTCAGTGCACTTTAATAATATCATAAATGCAGACTTTCTCCTCCTCCAGGTTTTTTTATATATTTTTAATTCTCCTCTACAAATTCCTATAATCTGAGAAGCCTCCCACTTATATATTTTTATCTTAAAGCTATTGAGAATGATGAATATTTTCATGCTGCACCATTTGTGGACATCTGGTATTGAAAATCTGATCCAAAATGTAACAGTTTTGAATGAGGACATTGAGTGTAGAGAGAGAGAGAGAAGAAAAAAAAGATGTATCAATTCCAGTTAAGTATTTCAATCGATCTCCCCTACATTTTAAATGCATATTGTATCAATTCTGTAATACTCAAAGACTACCAGGAGTCATAGTAGGTGGAATGTGGGACTGTCAGGCTATTCACAATAGTTTTCAGACCAGACTTTCAACTTTAAGAGTTGTTCGTCAAAAGTAGTCGTGTAAGTTATATTCTGCTTCTTGGGAAACTTATTGAAATTGTAAATGTACAAGCTATTCTGGACTTGTACGTTAATTTTGCTCCTATATAATGTTCAATTCATGTTTGTTGTGTGGGAATCTACTTGAGCACCAAGAAGTACTTTCTTGTTTTACCAAAGATAAAAATGTAATTCTTGCAGGTGCCCAACTCAAAAAATTTTTAATTACTTGAACGACATAATCTTTGAGGCAAATCCAAATTTCATGACTTCCTCTGACCCAATTTTGAAGTATTTCAGTAGTTGGTTTTAAAATGAACCCATGAGTATTCCAAACATAGTAGTAATTGTATTGAGAAAAGTTTAAATTTATAGAGCCAGAACTAGTTGATGCTACAGAGGAATCTTCTTTAGTAGATGTAAATGTAATTGAATTGCATCTGAAAACTAGTGCTGCTAAGAAGTGAGTCTTCTCACTTAGTTATGAAATTTGATGATATAAAAAAAAAGATTTACTTCAGATGTGTGCTTGGTTTACTTTGCTATCGTCTCTAAAATGCACAAATAACGTACGTTTGGAAATCCTGTTTTTCAATAGTTGCAGTGCTTTAACCCATTGTTCTGGACACAAAAAGTTAGCAAGGTTTATGCAAATACATTAGCATATTAAGCGATCCATATTCACTAATGACATAGAAACCGGACTTGCTGTTTTCTAGGAATAGTAATGTAAAAGAAAAGTTGTTTGTAGAAAGGAATGAAGAAACTAATATCATTTGTGAACAAGTTAATGAGTGTAAATCCTGTAAAAACAATTGCATGATTCTTTTACTGTGCATCAACTCATTTGATAAGTAATGGATGCAGAGAAGAGATGGTATGTGCATTGCTATGATTATTAGCTGTTAATGGTTGGCTCTCTGTAGTTCATACAAGTATTTATTGGACTTCATAGACTTCTAAAGAAAAAAGAAGATTTATTGTTCAACATAATGAAATTCACTGGTGTCTGTCATCCAGATGGTTTATTAAAATTCAGTCTATTCAAACGTTAGTTATGCTTTGATAGAAGTTGCAAGTAATACATAATTATATACGGCAGAAAAGACCACAAGACGTTGAAAAATAATGAAAGACAGTGTTCAAAATTGGTAAAACACACGTCTCTAACAAAAACTTTATTATTTGCAACTTTTCGGGCTGAAGCCTTTCATCAGGCAGTTTAAACCGTGTTACATAGGAAAAAGGCTTAGACAGAATCATTTGAAGGGTTAGCATATAAAGAGATTCTGAATTATGTATGTACTTGTGGAGCTTGTTAACAAAAATACTGTTAGAAGGAACAGTTGAAGCAGTTCCATAAAGAGTTTTAAATTGGAAAAGAAGTATTAAAGTGATAAAAATTGGATTTTAGAAATTAAAAGGAGTCAGAAAAGTAATAAACATAAACTTGAAAAATTACAAAATAGTAATTTAATAATAATAATGATCAAGGAAATATGTGTAGGCGGTATCAAGTTAACAGGGGTGGCAAAGAGTTAAATTTTGTTATAGCTGCAGCTGCTGTTAATAACCAGATTGTGATCTTACGTATAATGATATTTTTCAGGAAATTAACAGTGTGCTGTTTATTAATATTCATCAGCACCCCATATTTGTTTTTCATGAAAGTTTATTTTGTTGTATAAAAATATTCCTTTAAACAATTAAGTTATAAATATTATTAAAATGTGGTTTATGAAACACAGTGCCATAACAAATTAATTTTTTTTTTTTCAAGATTTCAGCAAGTAAAGAAGTTTTTAGGAAAACTTGGAATGCAAAATACACACTTCGAAGGTAAGTGGAAGAAACTGAAACAATTATTGCACTTTAGTTTCCAGTGAAGCTTATATATGTCATATAAGGTTATCAAAAAAACAGCAAAGAAAGAAAAACATTGAAACTAACTTAAGCAAGAATTTGAATTACAATTTTTAAGATGGCAATTAGAAAGAATATTATACTTTTTTAAATAAAGAAGAAAAAGTAATCAATAACAAAAAAAACTAGCCACCCAAACTAATTTAACATTCTAGGCTGATTTTAGGCTTGTATATAATTGATACCACTTTGTAAACCAGTTTTAGGTCTAATAAGTAACTACAAGGGTTTTTATTTAAGTTGTTCACTCGGAAGTTTCAGAACACTTAAGCAGAAACATTTACAAATGCAGTAAGAACATTATAATAAAAATTTTGAAAAATACTTTTGTCAGTTTGTTACAAAAACATTTAAAGAGACTGCTGTGATTTGCTTGTAGAATGTATGATGAGCAAACTTTTATAAAAAATAAGTTTTTATTTATTTTTAAATTCATGCATCAGTTATAGTAATTGTGTAAAATTATCTGATATATATTTAATGTGCATTATTTTTTTAGAAATAAAATAGGGTTAGGTTATAAGTTATACACTTATCTAATTTATAGTTAGGGGATACTGTAATTTTTAAAAATTAATATAGGCTTCAAGATAATTAAATAACTTTTGAAATATACTAGCTTCAGTATTGTATTCATTCTCTTTATCAGTCATTAATTGCTAAAATCTTAATCTCTCTTAAATATACTAATTAAAGGATAATGAAATTTATAATATTGTGACTATGACAAGGCAAAGCCACTCATTTCCAGAGCAATTATTTGTATTCCTGATCATATGATGAACCATCTGGTGTTTGATTTGCATAAAGATAATTAGATGTGGTGATTGACATTATTCGATAAAAGTGATGTTTCCTTGACATCGTTGAAATATCATGAATTCTAATTACATGTCAGTTGTTTTGTGTGGTGTAGTTCAGTTTTATTTTGTTTCTAGCATATGATAATAACTGGTACCTTTTGATTATGTTTGGGCTATTTCCCCTAACTAGCACAAAGAAACAATAATTAGAGTGACTGATATTCCTTTGCCATAAAAAAACAAACTACTATTATTTTTATGATATAATTTTTGATTTTGTGGTTATTGTAGTCTAGATTTTCTTAAATCGTTGAGATTTAATGGTCAGTACTTACTACATCCTTTCTTACAATACCATATGAACATACTGGCTTTTCTCACCTTAACCCTTTCG